ACATAAAATAATATTATAACATACCTGCATTTTTTTTTTTAATGATGATACACCAAATTATAATATACCTACATTTCACAAAGTAGTAGTACAATGTAAGTATTATTTTTAACCATAAAAAATGAGTTAAAAAACAAAAAAGTTAATAATAACACTTGTAGCATCATATTATTAATACTTTTTTTTTATACTGGACGGATATTGAATTGTTTAAAGTTGTTTTTCTTCAATTAGTTAGCACAACCCAACAACCTTAGGGTGTATATATTTGCATAAAACGTTTCCCAAATTATTTTTTGCGTCGTCTTGTTCAATTTCACTGTACACCTGAAATGGAAAAGAGTCGTATTAATAAGGCTTACGGACTTGGTTACTCGGACGATGATTTATATTATTAATCGGTTGACGGTTGTGATTATCAAACTATTAAATGTTTGTCGTGGACTCACTCCGTTAATAACAATAGAAGGAATCTGAGCCGAACGCGGTAAAACGGTCTGTGTACGATTGCTGTARTGAACCATTAACGAATCGCTGAATTGTCTGTTCATAAAACACTTCTTTATCTTGCCGTAATAATCGTCGTACAAGCCCATATTTCTCGTACACTAAAATTAATACGAAATTTAAAACAAATGATATTTTCAAATAAGTGTAAGTCGCATGAAACGTTAATATTATAATATTATATTATATAACTGAAATAGGTACATGCTACTACGCTACGAATGACCTTTTTTGTTCCRTCGTATTCATTTATATAGTTATAATGCTGCAGGTTATCTATCACGAAATGTTTATTGAATTTAATGGTTTTATTTTCAATCCATAATAATCTCATCTACTTGAAAATTAAAATCATTTCATTATTAAACTATTTTCCCTTTCCTAGTTAGCCGTGTAAATTGTGGAATATTTACTTTAGTCATTATTTCATTAATTCATTATATATACCTATAATACTAATAAGTCAAAGTAAGAATAGTCTTTCGATTTTTGCTGTACCCAAATCAACATTTTTTAAAGGCGGGCATATAATATTATGGTATTATTAAATAGATGAGGTCTAAGACCGACATTAGATACGATCGAYGAGTGCGACGGTACAGGCGGCTCGCGGTTGTCTGTTTATACCTATGTTTAAAAAGAAAGAAAAAGGGCCCCGAAATAATACTTGTGCTGGGTGCTGAAAAAGCTAGAGCCGGCCCTGATAATTCCTAAGTGTAATTTGAATTGTTATTTGTTAGTCAAATATGTTTTCACACATTTTATTTCACGTCRCAATGCTAAACATATATTATCGGTACATTTCACTTTAAGTGATAATGTAAATATTTATTAGACATGTTGCTTTTTATGCATTTTACAAGTCATTTATCCATGATTTTAAAACGAAATCTTTTGCAATAGATAATAGTGATATAATATGCGAGACAGAAGGTTCCATTTAGRTAACAGTATACCTATTGAATATTTAAACAGTTATTTTATATAATAATAAATAAATCATAAATATAATTCTAAAAATATAATAGTTATTAGAATATTAATTCAATTCCGAAATCCTATTTTGGTTAAGAATTATGAAATTTTAATACGAATATTGTTTTACTTCAAATGGTTTAAATTTAAGATCGTAACCGATTTTTACGATTTATACCAGATGAAGCTAAAATGTATCACTGTACATACTACATACGAGTACAATAACATATAAATATAAACTTYACTGACCAACTAAAATAAATCACTATTTTAATAAGTTAYCGGTGTCATAATTTTTATTTTAACGAGAGTTTAGTATAAATTATTATAAAATAGTTTCATATGAAAAATGCGAATATGATTCTTACTTGATATCCTGAATGTGTTTCAACTGTAGAACTCATATAACATACCAAATAATTAGCCAATAATTGCAGTTTGGATGGTAGTACATGAATGCTACATGCTTGCCACTTATTTTTCATACATTCAGTTAGTCCGTTTTGACATTTAAAAAACCATCTTCCTTCGAATAATTTTTTCTGTAACGGTCACCATTAGTATATAATATATTAAAATGAATACGTTTTGTACAATACATTTAAATATATATTATATATATTTTTAGTTGCATATATGATATACGAGTATATAAAAACAAAAGATTATATTATGTGATATAATATAATTATTTCAAACATTTATCGGGATAAATAGTTTGTAAATTAAAATATCAAGTATATATAAGTACACTTACGTCAGCATTACCGAAAGGCACGAAATCAAAGTTGACATATTTTTGAAATTTCGCCAAGATTGGTCTTATTTGATTTTTAAACAAATCCACCGAATCCGAGGACAAGCTTTCGTAGTATATTGACATAGTTATTTTCTGAGGAAAAAAATCGCGCGCTTTATTAATATTTTATTTTTGTCTTGAAAGAAAACGGCAATATATTGTCAGTAATGGATTTATTGTTTCACTCACGGGCACGGAATTTTGATTGTCGACATGAGGCGCGTCGTACAAGGGTTTTACAAACCCTTTTTTGGCGGTAGCTAAATCCATCGTACTAGTTTTAGTAACTATTACTAATAAAAATATGACGGAAAATGCAGTACTAGCAATCATTTCTAAAGATATCTTATTACGACCTACACAACTACAGTCGTACTCGGTAAAATTATTAAATGATTGTAAGGCCGTTTTAGACGCACCTATATAACCACACAACGAAAGTTTCTCGTCCGTTTATCTATATACAATACGTGTGAGTGGGTATGGTTGCTCGAGACATTGTACTTTATATATTATTACAATTATGCATATAATAATAATAATAATAATAATAATAATTTATCGTGTGCGTGTGTGTGTAATGAAAACATTATATTGCGACTGCCTATTCCTGTAAAATCGGATGTTATTTTATCTAAAACGGTAATTATAATAAAAACTATTGTGCATTAGATTACGTATCCATTATAATTAAGGCCATAATCATATACCTACTGCCACTATACATGTACAATATTTTATTGGTAATAATATGAACACGATGTCGAAATTAATCGATTATTTTTCCGCAGTCAACTGTACGAGGTGAATTGGATTCAAGACTGTAGAAATGCAACTAATAGGTGCAGGGTACTATGCATTTATGAGAGTGTCTATATAATATTATGTTTTACACTGTGGTTAAACAATTTCTTTATTCTCTATCGACCAACTCGACATAAACATTTGCAAACGCGAGATATTAAGATTTTACCAGATTAATAACTGCAAATCCACGGGGGGGGATTTATCCTCGTTTACATTATTTTTTTTTCTAAACAGTATTTAAATAATTGGTTAAAACTAATAATATAGAGTGTAGTCATTTATAGAACCTCTTCAGGTTATAATTTTCCATGTGATACAATTACGTATGGCAGACATTTAGTGWTGTTCTTAATCAGCCAAAAAAAAACTAAAACTATAAGATTCCTTGATGCTATTGTTATTTTACAATTATCATTTATATCTATTAAAAATGAATCTGTTAATTGCTTAGGGTAGTAAATAAAATTTGTTTTGAGTAAGAAAGAATTTCAGATGGGGTTAAAACTCTAGAACTACACCATATTTCATAATTGTGGCATGAAAAAAATGTTTCTTTGCTGCCTGCTGGTACTTTCAACGGAAAATAGGACTTAAGTAGGACCTACTCGACATTCGAATACTTTCATCAACCACTCGAGATTCGGAGAAATTCTATGAATGAAACGAGTGTGACAATTTCGACTATTGAAGTTATAATAATAATACAACCATCTTGGTACAAATGTAAAGAAATGTAAATACAAGTTTGCTAATGATTTGTTTTTCAGTTATGATGTCGTTATAAAATAAACGAATCATTTTTGTGACATTATTGACTCTACGTAAATAAATTGACATGTAACAATTATTAATAATTGTCGTTTTAAACATAAAATTATACGACGAGCACTGAAAAGCTCCAGTTATAAGATGGTTTTCTAGCTGTAAAGGTGGGGTGTCAATATTTGTTTAAAAAATGTTCAACACTCATAGGGAAATTGTAATTCAAAGGCACCGTCGTAGGTCTAATGCGAAGAGTTCAAAAATTAAATCTTTATTAATACCTAATAGTAATTACTTACGTGAATTTTCGTCGATCACGAGCTTACATGGCATAATGTATTTGGGTGAACCCAGAAGACCTCTATTGGAAAGGTAAATATAAATATCCAATAACCAAATGAATATCGAAAATTTAAGGTTTATTGAAAAAAATTAAAACACACCAACCAACTTCAACTACCGCTATATTATACCTACCATATTTTGTACTACCTGCAATAATATAATATATAGTGTATGTGTCATGTGATGATAATAATTAGCAATAAAAATTATTACTATAAAAGCATAACCACAAAAAATGTCAGTATCTTTTTATAAGAATTTAAAATAAAAAATATGATTATTATTGATCATATATCTAACAAGTAACAGTATGATTTGCACACCTATTATTATACGTTTATCAAATTTAACGTTATAAAATTAATTTTATAATAGATTATAATATTTGTAACTTAATTYAAAACTTTTTAAAGAATTTGTGAGCTAATGAAATTAATCACCACTGAAACCTATTGGGAATACCTAGTTTAAATAGCCGTTTAATATATGAATTGACATTTTGAAAATACTTAGAATATAGGTAATAGTAGAAATATAATAAAACACAATAATATAGAATACGAATTCATTATGTTGAATCACACTGTTCTATAAAATCAAAACTGTAGCTTGTATTTTTATTAATATTAATATATTATTGTAACTTGGTGAATCAACTTAACATCAATTTATTAGTAAAAACTATATTTTGGGTGACGTGAAAATATGATTTAGGTTTATTGCAATCTATAATTTTTGATAAGAACAATTATTTATGAAATAATTATAATATGTTCATAACATTATATAATTTTTTAAATATTAGATTATKACATTATGTTAAGTTAAAACGCTTAAGATTTGATTTTACTGGTAATATTAATAATTCCAATTGTTTCATGTTAATATCGCAAGTCATAACGTTATATTATATAATTATAAAAAATATTGATGTGTATACATTTATAATTTGTTTATCTGTTTTTGTATTTTTAGATGTATTTAATGTAATCATGTGGTTTGCAACAATTATTTTCTTATCACTCTTTTATTTTTAAGTTTATTACAACTCGTAATAATATTATTCAGTATTTTTTTTTTTGTTATAATATACCTTCTTTATTATTTTGCTTTCTGAGCTAACCTTGTAAGTCATGTTGTAACAATAAGTCGAAACCACGGTCAAACTGGGAAAATAATGAAAACGGTTTTTATTGAAATACTGAGTGATAAATGGTAAATACCAACAGTTTTTAAAATACAATAAATCAAGCTCTTGATAAMAAAAAAACAAAATCTTTAAACAAATAAGTTGATATTGAACATTAATATATTGAGCCACCTAATCGTATCGAACTCGAATAAACACGAATAAATGGAGTAAAAAACGAGTCTTTTATTTGTTTTTTATATATGAAAATAATTTCACATTATATTAGGTTTATAATTATTATAAGAGGTAAATATTTTAAAACGTTGTTGGTTCTCTAGGGTTTTCTGGTGCGGAGTGATGTCTTTGGTTATGTCCTTATGCGGTTTACAAATTTATCAATTATACGGCAATTGGTTGAGCAGTAGAACGATATTGACGTTGGATAACAATAAGTATAGCATATGGGACCTACCATTTCCGGCAATTACATTCTGTAGTGATATTCAGCTTCAACATATCGACAATAGGACACTTGGAGACGACATATTTAATAAGTAATAATAATAATTATAGTGATCGCCTTTAACACTGTAAGTGTAACATTTTTTATTCTAGAGAAACCGAAGATGTCATAAATTTATTGTGCAATAAGTTTGAACTTCGTAGAAACGTGACATTAAAAATTATTAATTCAAAAACTTGGGACCACGTGATTCAGGTTAGACAAATTTTAGATTTAATTTATTTTCTATTTTCATTATTTCATTATTATCATCAGTTTTCTATGAAAATATTTTATTTAACAGCATTTTTTTTTTCWAAAATGTTGTCATTTCAATASAGCATTTTGATGTATTTGCTTTTTTTTCTTGGTGATACAAAAACGMTACTCTATTTTAAGTATACTAAATGTGTTTTATTAGTAATAGCCAATAGGTAAATAAGTCAGTTAAAATATTTTTAAAGTGAATTTGTCAACACATTTTTTTTGGCGATTTGTAGAATTTTTCATTTTTTATTGCAAGTATTCGTATACAAGATTTTAACTGATCTCTGTTAATTTAAAAATAATTAGGAAAAATACATAGGTAATACAATGATTTTACAGAATTTATATTGCACTAATAAATTATTATATATTATATTGGTTTRAAAAATGTATTTATGTACGTATTCTAATTATAGTAGTGCAATAATTATACCATGATTAAAATTGTAAAATCGTATACGRCATAATACAAAAATAAAATATGTTAAGAAATATTTTATGTACAGTAAAACATCAATGCGTGTTCTTAGTTATCAACCATACTATATAATAACCAAGTAAATAGATCAATTATGAATTWACCAACATTTAAAAATAAATTTTCAGTTATTCATAATAACATTTCTATCACATAATATCAAAGATAATAATCACATTTTAAATATATTTATTTACCAATATCAGTGCAGTTATGGGGATTTTAAACGCATTCAATTTCAAATAGGTATATAGCTATATAAATAAAATACAATATAAAGTCCGTTGTTCTTATAAAATAAGAGCAGGATAATACTTATGTGTTTCATTTCAATTTCAAGTACCACAAGACTGGCTGTAAAAATTTGATTCCATTAATATTTTGGATTCAAGACGAAATCTACTCACCTTGTGATTATGTCCAACCAATTATAACGTCATATGGTCTGTGTTATTCACTGAATATGATTCCTCAYCAACAATTGTTGCACGATAATTATCTCAAATCGTAAGTATTACAATCGTGTATGTACATCATACATCGTTATAACATAACTATAGCCTATAGTCTATAGGCACACTATTCAGGRTAAGAATGCCTGAATTCGGGAATGATTACTGATAACTGAACCAATGGAAGGTTTCTTAAGTGCCTAAGGTTAACCTATATAGATATATGTACCTTTATTATTACTTAGTACATATATTAGCATGTAGTTTATTGCTTCATACTTTCATACTATTACCATAGTTCATACGACTATATTTCATAGAATAAATAAGATTATTGTCAGTGGCTCAATATATATATATATATATATATATATATATATGTAGTTATGCACGAATTTGAGCATTCTTATCCTGAATAGAGCATAATATCAGGGGCGGTCCCAAAAGACTTAACTCTCTTCTAAAAGACATATGATTGTCCATTATTGGGCATGGGCGTCTTCGGGTGGGGGGGGGAGGAATTTTAAATTTATTTTCCAAAGCATTACCTGTAACGCGCCAATTTGGTTAGGTTAGGTTGCCCCTTTTGCCCCTCACTACAAAAATGTCTGGAGACGTCTGTGTTACGCTGGATACTACCATTGATTTTATATTATACTGTATTTATGATAAATGTATATTGTATTTGTGTTGTAACAAAATTGTTAAACCCCCTCCCCCTCCCTCCTGTGCAATGAATCCGTATCTGAAYTACCTATATAGTATATATGTATATATACCTAGAATAGATTGATCGCACACAATTAAATTCCAATATTGAATAATATATTATTGTGTACAATTAATGTACTATATAATATTATTGCATGTCCGGTGTATATAGAACGTCTTTTTTGAACTTGACACAAGCCGATATCTTAGCGAAGAAAAACCAAACCACCTGGACCCCTGAAATTGGTTACAGCCGGAACGTGACCCCGTTCGATGTGCCGTGGAGAGTGACCGGTGACACCTCTGACAATGCGGTTCGGTTGATCTTTGATTTGACGAACAAGAATTTAGGAGACCACTGTCCGAAAAAAGAATCTGGACTGACGGTATGGTATATCGATGACTATCGTTTAGTTTATTTGATTTATTATTTACTGTTATTATATAATTCCTACGTATAATACAATTATTAATACCTATAGGTATACTATAATAACGACATATACGAACTTCATAATATATATTAAATATTAGGTGTGCGTAATAGGATTTTGTGTGTGGTACAACACACATCATTATTAAATGGACTGACAGAACTATGAGCAACCAACTTATTTCCCTTCTTATGGCACACTATTACCTATCGTTRATACTAGTGAAAGGTGCAGCGCAGGTTATAAAAAATATGGAGCGTACTCAAGGGAGGGGGGTTTGAACCCCATGACCTCACTATAACTGATGCACTTTTGTGCGTTCTTGCTTATACAATATAATATAATTCACAACAGCAATTTTCTAAAAATAATTTGAATAAGTCCCGGTGACAAAAAACAAAATGTTCAACCCCCCCCCTCCCATTGAAAATTCCTGAGTACGCCCCTAACTCGTATTGTCGTACATTATTTAATTATATGATAGAGTATCATATATAATAGTATAAAATATAATAAAGTATAAAATGTCGTTTAGTATTATAGGCCAATAGTCTATAGATATACGTAAACTATAGGGTTAAACAAACTTTTTAAAATTAAGAGGAATGGGATTAACTAAGAATGCACCTTTCTTTTAAAGAAAAAATTTTTTTTATTTTTAAGTCTCTTACCTTACTCGTATCAGTAATACGATTGACTGTAAAGTTATCTGTTATCTGAAGTGTTTCACTGTAGTAAGTTTMTGAATAATCCATTTTGCATTTGTATCCATGTAGTATGTAGTATGTACTATATAAAAAAGGGTTATAGTTATCCAATGTGTAATATATATGATGGTTATTGTTATATTTGAATTTGTACGTCACACCATGCAAGTACGTTGGTCAGTATAAAACCTAGACTTATTTTAGATATTTTGCATTGATAAATAATTTTATTATTTTTCGTTTAGTCAACATTGAGTATTCATATTTTTATTTTATTAAAAATTCATTATTTTTAAATTGTTCATACCATGTGCACAAGCTTTTTAAACAAAATAAATATTCACCAACTCACTAGAACTAAAATAAATTTGAGGTGTAACGAAAACACCATTCATTTTATACATTTGTGCGCACGACYATGACTATACCTAGCTTAATTATGCATACTTACCTTTAAGTTAAGTCTTCGAAGAGGTTCGAAACAAATATATGCTTGGAAAAGGAATAAAAATTCAAAATGTTCAAAAACATTAAACATTTATTAGAATATATACAATCTGTAATAATGGTTACAATAAGCATATGGGCTGAATTTACAGTTGTTGTGAATGCGTGAGGTGAGTAGCAATCCAGCGGTAACACTCGACTTTTTAAAGGATAATTGGAAAAAATAAGCTAAAGGATGAAAATAGTAACATACAGTGTCCCGCGAGAATTTACCCATTGCGATATCTTCTAAGATAGTAAATATATCATAAATCTGTTTTGTTTTATTAGACTCGCATAGATAAGAGCTACATTATGTATTTTATCTTTTAATTTAAATTAATTGGTTGGTAAAAAAATATGAAAAATAATTTTTTAATTTTTTTTTTAAAATAAAGTTTCTTATTTTATATAGAGTTTATTTTGCTGAAAATTTTGGCGTTTCAACATTTTATCTTCATTAATTTAGTGATTTTTAATAATTCTTTTAGTTGATAAACATAACGGTAAAACTTGTTTTATCCGAGCGGCGAGTCCCCCTCTACAGCTAATGGTATATCCTCACCAGACACCCTGTATAAAATTAGTGAAGTATAAAATATAGTATGGGATTTTTCATGGGAAGTATCTTCTGATAACATTTCGACCACTATTTCAGTAACGTTTTTAACAGGGCTTTATCGCTTTGGCTCCCATATGTAGGTATACCTATATGGACAAATGGATGTCCATTGTCCAAAAATATTAAAATTAATTGCAGTTGTTGGTGCATAGCCCAGCGGATGTTCCAGTCGGAATTCAACCTACAGCCTACGTCACCGGCAGTAGTTTGCTGTCCGTCGCATTGTCACTGAATATAATACATACCTCGCATAAAATCAAAAATTGGACCCCAAAACTTCGAAATTGTTATTTTGAACACGAGAGAAAACTGAAGTTTTTCAAGATCTACACACTTCACAATTGCGAACTCGAGTGTAGAGCCAACAACACGCTTAACGAATGCGGTTGCAATGCTTATTTCCAACCAAGTGCGTATGCACACCACATAGGTATACTCTTTATTAGTAGAAGTTTTCGAACGAGTCATTAGTCAAATTTTCTAATGTTCAAGTTTAAACTTTATACATAACATTAGATTCAAAGCAGAGCGATCAATGTGTTGATTTTATAACAATATGTATTTTATTTTTTATTTGTGTCTGTCGTCATCTTTAAGGACAGTAAAAATGCTTAAATTTTCTTCCACTTCATTTTTTCTAATACAAAAGTTCAGTGGCGTGCTGAAAGGGGTAATCGAGAAGCGGCCGCCTCTAGATTTTTTTAAAATAACATTTAATGTATTTTTAATTAATCTTAGAATATGGACAATATGGTCTTAAAATTGACTAAGAGAGGCAATTCCCCAAAAATTACATTCATTCAATTTTTATAGCTAAGAATTGAAATTAAAATCAAGGATTCTCATAAATAGTCCATACTGTAATAACTAAACGATATGTCAATATATCAATACAATCTAAACAATATATAAACACGGTTATTTTTGCAGACATTTTAAGTTTAAATTTAGACGAAATTACCATTTTAAAACAAAGAACAACGGCTTAGTTATTTTGTTGTAATCAAAATATATTACTGGAGAGTATATGAAACTTTTAGAGTATATCAATACATTTTATATACCATGTTTTGGCAACAAATAATTTAGCCTATTGTAGTACTAATGCCTTACAGCAAAATAAATTACATTAATCACAATAATATCATTAAATATTCAAATACTTATAGTAATATTGTAGGCCGACAGCTCGTTTTTGCATATAATCGATTTTCGTATATAATGATTTGATATTATTGAATTAAAATTTAAAACATTTATTACCTACAGTGAATCTCTATAGACACCTAATATATACAGTAGAGCAGTAGGTACTCACTAACCAGCTTTTCTTTTTCTTTTTTCATAGTAATGGCCAAATGGGCGATAATTAAGCAATAACAATTTACTAATCTCTAAAAAAAAAACAATCGATTTATTTGAAAATGATTATATTATATTATATTGTAATATTTGTGAGTTTTGATATTATAACGTTTAAGTTACAGGAGATCTTGGAGTTCCGGTTTGTGGTACTGAAAGTTTAGAATGTATTAGAGTGTCCTCGACTATCGGTGAATTTTGGATTTTATTTTATTATACCTTCTATAATAATATTTTATTATAGGTACCTACATTATTATAATACGCGAGTTTCAGGTTATTCGATTTTCAATAAAACACAAAACATGTCACATAACATTAAAAATTGTAATTGTTTGCCATCGTGTACGAATATTCAGTATAATTATGAAACAGTGGATTTTTTTAGAAACTGGACAACGAATTTAACAAAACCAAAACTGTAATAAATAATTTACTAAGTTATTATTGAAAATTTAATGAAAATTAATTATTTTTGTAATGTTGTTGTTCTGATTTTACGTAGAGTTCTTACTGAAAAATCAGCCGTAGTAATGGTTTTCTTCAAAAAAAAATCCGTATTTGATATACAAAAAACTCCATTGATGCCGTTTAATGAACTATTAGGTAAGTGAAATTATTTATGAACATAATACTTTTGTTTTCTATTACTTTACTTATTGYTTGTTAAAAAAATGTTTCAGGTAACATAGGCGGCTTATTTGGATTATTTCTTGGTTGCAGCATAATCAGTTTCTTTGAAATCTTATATTTTTTTGTGATACGATTATATTTTGACCATAGGAATCGTAGAAAGGCTAAATCAAAAGTCATGCCAAGTTTTATCATTGAATCGTAAAAAAGATCCTAAAATAGTAATATTAATTATATACAATTATATACTACAACATAAAAATTCAAAATATGTTAGGTTTCCTAAGAAAAACAGACCTATACGATATAATTTAAAATGTCTGTCAACTATAACCATAATATTGATGTTAGTGGAAATCACACATAATTAACACCATATTAATTGTATAATTTTAGTTCTAGAAATCACTCATTATGTACCTATTAAACGAAAAACTAATAACCTTTGCATTTGCTGTTGATGTTTTTAAGTTCAATAAAAAAAAAAATTCATAACACCAACATCTTATGCAATATAATATATACTTTCATTTTTGTAGACGTTAGAAACTCATTACAAAAAATACTTAAAAACTATTAGCAAACTATTATAATTTGAGAAAATATTTTATTTTCTAATTTGAAATTGAATTAAATAAATTACATCTTACTATTTTTTATTTGTTTTATTTGTAAGTTTTCAATGAAAACATACTTTTTTAAATTTTATATCCTAAAACATAATATCAAACTATAATATTTATGATGACCTTATAAAATTTTAATTTTGGAAAATTCTATCTTAGTGCACCATTCCATGAAAATGTTGAGGTATAGTATGGTAAGGTATCATTAAAATGTCAAGTCTTTAGCTATTATAGAATATTATAGTTTAGACTCTACGTTGATCAGTCTGTCAGTCAGAACAAGTCCGATTATATTATATACAAATAGATACGAAGTAGTATATATAGTTATATAGGCATTTACCTAATAGTTATAGTAGGTATAGCTAATAGTTACAGGTACATCCAAGTCGGATACTGTATGAGTGTGTATTTTTAGCTTGATGATTTT